AGGGCGGAGCCCGGGTTTCCTCCAGACAACAGTGCTCCCATCAAATGTGCCCCACCATCAAGAACAGTCTCTGCCCTTTCCATACTTACGCAGCTGACTCAAGCTCAGACTTCTGAGCTTTGCCACGACACAGGCTCCACGTCACATCTGCGCAGCAGGAGGGGGCAGTTCCAAGCCCCTGCCCCTGACATGTGAGGTGGGGCATGCCTGGGAGTACTCGGACATGAAACGATCCACTCTGCTCTGAAATTAAGAGCTACACACCGCGGTGCACAGCAGTGACCCAGGGATCTAGTCACGTCTGGCCTGTGATTTTTTTCACTCTGCCCATTTCTGATTTGATGCAGGAGCCCGACTGAGGTGACGGTGATGAGGAAACCATCCACATCCTTCCCCCACCAATACATTTGTCAACTGGAGGGTAAGCTGTAGAGAAAGCCCCCTCCCTGGATGAGGCGCCTCTGTGGAGGGGTCAAGCCCCCCTTCCTCCTGGACACTCTTTCTCACTCAAACCCTGACATGTGCCCCAGTGACAGAGGTTAACGAGGGTGCAGTGCCCAGGGTACTGTGAAGTCAGGTGACCCACGTAAGAACAGAGAGTGCACCCCTCTGGACTCCAGAGGTCTCAGCCAAGTGCCTTCCCAGCCTCGAGGGCAGTTACGGGAGGGTGTGGGGGGGGGGGTCAGGAGCTGCTGCCTACTTTGGGGAATGGGCTTGTTCTCTGTCTCACCTCTGCTTTGTTTTGCTGGTTCCTAAGGAAGTCAAGGAACGAAGCTAGGCCAAACCAGTGCTCGGCTGGTCACCCCCAATTCACTGTAGGGAGGGAGGGGATGCTGAGGTCCTCACAGAGGGTGTGTGGTCCCTCCTCCGCCTCTAAACAAGCCCAGAGTGCTTCTGAGAACCAGGGAGTCACAGACTCAGCCTTTTATTTCACGTCTTCACAGAAAGCAGTGTAACAGCAGGTTGGATTTAAACACATTTTGACTCTTCTAACCATCACAATACACAAAGCAGGCAGCCATCTGCGAGTCCTCTGTGACCATCCACGGTGCAGTCAGTGTGTCCCAGGCTCTCAAGACCAACGATTCTTTGCCAACATTCCCCTCAGTCTGTCCTAGCGCCTCCCTCGCCCAGCAGGCCTGAATGCAGAACCCTGAATGCTCCTTCTGGTTCCTTCCTTTTCGCACGGCTCCACCTTGTCTGGGCACATGTGACCACACCCACGGCAGCAAGAGCGTCCTTCTCTGGACAGGAACAGGAAGATTCTTAGACATTGTTCTATATGTTAATCTTCAACGGAAAGGAAAAGAATGGTCCAGAAGGACTCCCGAGAGGCCACCCGACTGGCCGAGACGCCGCCTCTTGGAAGGGAGTCCAGTCCCACAAACGTTAATCCCTTTCACCTTCAGCTTTCTCAGAATTAACAGTACCTGGAGGTCTCCCCAAGGATTTGGAGGTAGAAAGGGCTAGAAGGTGTGCGACGTGCCTATTCTGACCCTCGTCCCCTCCTCGCTGGTAAGCTCGGAAGCAATCAGGAATACCAGCAAACCTGCTCCTTTATTAAGACAGCATGGGCTTTCCTGCATTTTCAAAAGCAGAAACGTTCTACTGACTGAACACATCAAAAGGACTCGGCAGGATCCTCGGGGACCAGTCAGAGGAGATGTCACATGATGCTGGCATCCCAGACCATGTCACAGGAAGAAGGCAGCTGGCTCTTCATCTGCCTAGGGGAGGGCATCCTTCATTCTTTGAACAACTGCCTTCGAGTCGCTGCTCAGTCCCAGTGTGTAGACCCAGTCTCTCCAGGACTGGGAACAAAGGCAGCTGCCAGGTGCAACAGTTTATGAGGGTCCGCCTTTTATATATGCCATGGGGGCCCAGTCTCCGGGAGCCAGAAGCCCAAGATGCGGGTGACCGCTGATGTGGGCTGATGGCTTTAGCAGCCCCATAATCCTCCCTTTGATGTCCAGGGTCAGTGCGGTCCTGGCCCCGGCAGAGGAGGCGTATGAAAGAGTCTCATCCTGTGGAGAAAACAGCAATAAAATTTATTAGCCCGTCACCACAGTCAGTCACTCCTGACGAGAGAGTTCCCCTCGGCCTCTGCCCTCCACTTGAGAGGGAACTTCCGGGGGGTCAGGGGGTATGACTGGAGGCACACCTCACACTCCCAGGCCTCGGGGGCGCAGTCACAGCACAGGCCACGCAGGGCTTTGAAGCCCAGAGACGTTCAATGGCAAGGCGGCCTTAGAAAGGGCAGAGCCCCTTTGGACAGGTACCCTGTGCTTCAGAAGCCTCCACTCCGTTAGGTGCACGGTGCCCTCCGCCTCAACCATGGGGCAGGCGCTTCGCTTCCAACGTAATCTTTCCACTTCTGCTTTCCTCAGATCCCCACCCCCAGAGCACATACAGAGGGATACCACTGCCGTCCGGGTCTGGTCTGGCACCAGACACGCAGGCCCTTCACCGTCTTCTCCGTGGGAGGCCCGCCTCAGGCGCCTACAGGTGGGTAGGCGGGTTTTTTTGCTCAAGGGCTCGACTCCTGTTCCTGCTGAACTGAGCCAGTGTGTGAAATGACAACTGATATCAGCTCAGTAGGCACCGGAGGGCGGGTCCAATCACAGCTGGGCAGTGCCTCCTGGTGCGCCCCGGGCATCGTCCCACCAGCGACTGTGGGCGTATGGAGACCTGGGCTGTAAACACAAGAGAGAGTTCACCATGCCCAGCAGGAACAACAGACCCTCCCTCACGTGTGGCATCGGCTGAGACACGTCCCACTCAACTTTCGTGGCGCATCTGGAGTTAGTTCCCTGCGACTTCTGAGATAATTGACAGGACAGTGAGCTGCTTAGCGGGTCTGTGTTTTCTGCGGACACACTTAAGGGCGGTCAACACACTGCTTTCCCCCCTGACAATACACCCTCGGGTCAGGCCGGTCTCTCCTCCTCTGGAATCTGTTCCGCGCCAAGCTGACCGCCAGCTGTGGCCACGCCTGACAGCAGTGGCCTCTGCCCGGCAGCTGCAACTTAACTGTTCCCCATCTCACCCTTCTCTTCAGGTGCAGAACTTAGCCACTGTGAACAAAGCGGAAAACAATCACTGTTCACCAATCAGCTAAGCTCTGCACCTTGTTAGAGAGGTCATCGCCGGCCATAAATAAAGGGCTGGTGAGCGTCTTCCGAGGCGGTTGGCTTCTTTTTGTTCCCAAAGAGCCACAAGGTGCATCTGTTCTCCCAACTGCAGAGAGAAAGTAGCCACGGATCTGCAGAAGCAGCCAAGGTCATGGTTGCGTGGTAATCCCTGGCAATGTGATTTTAATCTCAAGTCACAAATCAGCATGCCAGGAACCCAAGCAGCCAGAGCACTTGAGGGCAGCGCGATGCCCTAGCAACTCCCATCCACAGGCACTGGGCGTCCTCCGTGCACTCTGCGCCCACCTAGCATTCCCTGCACTGTGCAGGAGCCTTGGGACAGGAGAGGGGGCGCTGTATCAGCTATGTGGCGAACGTCTCAGGGAGCATCCTTGCTTTGGACCTATGGCCTTTAACTCTGGGGATACAGCCTACTCTCAAACTGCAGATTCTGAATGGCCTGGGATGCTATGGATCTTTCAGGTGACAAAGGTGTGGTATGCGGGGGACATGTCTCACTCCCATCCATATAGTCTCCCTCCAGGGCTGCTGTGGCCAAGCATTCAGCTGGAGGGGCTGGGGGGGGGGGACTACAGAGAGTTCATGGAGGAGCGAGGAAGTTGAGGATTAGTGACAACTCCTTTGCCTGCTGGGGACGGGTGGGGGGTAGGGAGGAAGGTGGTGTCACAAGGAAGAGGCACTAGAACCATGTGCAACTCTGTGGTTCTCCAAGGGAAACAGTGGCCTCGCTGTGATTCTCTGGCTAAGAGTTGCGAAAATCACAACTCTCCCTGAGGTTAAAGGCTTCCAGGGAAATGCCTGCTGGAGTGCTGGAGGCCTGTTACACACGCGACAGGCCAGCTTCACAGCTTGTGGGGTGTGGGCTCAGCACCCTGTATGGTCACTCACTACACCCCATGACCTCCAAGCTTGGCCGTGGTGGTCCCCCCGCCACATCTTCTGAAAGAACATGATCATGCTTCAGGAAACACGTTTTCCCCTTCATAATTATAGTGCTTTCAGACAAATAAAATACTCAAGCATATTACATGGAAGTGAGCTTTGGGAAAGCAAAATGAGAATGTAAACTGAATGTCCAACAATGGGTTAAGATTAGCGGCACAATCCTAAAATATCCATTAATTAGAAATCACACAGAACAAAGTAACATGAACAATGATTGGGATCTGATGTGAGATTTAAAAAAACACACGTAAGTAGACGTCACATCATATACCGCCATGGAGAAGATGGAGAGATGGTAACGTGACTGTGAGAGAATCACACTGACCCGTACGTCTGCTGACAGAACTTCACGCTTTGTGTCTGAATGACACACGAGGCTACAGAGGATGCAAGGCACACAGCCAAGAACTCTGGAGCTGGGGTGAACCCTGCTACAGCAGGAGGTGGAGACAGTCATGTCCTCAGGACACAAGGGTCAGGGTGGAGGGCACCCGCCGCCTCCCTCACACAAGTGTCACTGAGCGAGGTGGGGGCAGGGATACTCTTGCTGCCTACTTCACAGGCCAGGGGGACAGAGGCAAAGGAGTCTTCTCGGGTTGACAAGGCCTAGGGGTGCTGCCTGCATGCGGAAGCTTGGAACAGAGCAGTGTGGTCACAGAACCCTGGCTGACCTTGACCCCAAAGCCTGTGGATCTGTGCAAGGCCTCAGGTGACCAAAGAAGTGCCAGCATGGCCATTATGCCTCCGGGAGACACCTCTGTTTCACACCCAGAGTTCCAAACGATAAATGAGGTGGCTCCAGGATCCTGAGCCCTCCTGTCCCCAAGACAGGCGGCCCTTACACAGACTTGTGGTGCGGTGGTGGCCCTCCCGCACCACGCGGCTGACAGGATAGACGTGGATAGTCCGGAGAGAACAGGAAGGGGAGAATTACCTCTTTAAGACAGCATTTCAGACACCACCTGGGCTGAGGCTCTGTCCATGTGTTCCTTCACCAGCTCAAAGCACCTGTGGGCGAGCTGCTGCTGCCTGGCATCCTCGCTCACCATCAGCTCCCCATAGAGGTACACACCCATGGCCTGCAGGGCACGGAGGCCAGAAAAGAAAGAGGCAGGGTAAAGAGGCTGCGCGCGCTTGTCCTTGCTCTACACAGGCTGGTGTGAAGACAGACGAGAGGAAGGCAACAGCCATGAAGCTGACCAGCTAGAGTCTGCAGCTTCTACTCTGCCCCTCTTGGTCCTCAGCAAAACTCTATGGTAGCACAGGCCTTTAATCCCAGCACTGGGAAGCAGAGTACATCTACGAGTTCAAAGCTAGCCTGTTGTACATCGTGAGTTCTAAGCCAGTCAGAGTCACATGATGGTACCCTACCCCACCCCACCCCAACACACACACATACATGCACATGCACGTGCGTGTACACACACACACAAAACCACCACCAACAAAAACATGGAATTTTACTGAGTCTGTCACTCTGGTGCTGAGTGATAAGCTGCCCCCTAGTGGCTACTTTCAGGAACACTCTGGGCGGAGACAGAGCTCCCCAAGTGGTCACTGTGGAAAACCCTGTATGTGTCAGGTCAGGACACTCCAAAGGGTGAGCTGGCATGAACTTGTTCACCAAGCCCATCACCTACCAGGCCACAAGAGACCACATGGCCCAGAGCGGAACAGGCAGGCAGATGCTGTTACTCTGGCCCAGCCTGGCCACCTCTCACCACTAGGTCCCAGAACATCAGACACCGGCTCTTCTGCTTTGAAAATGATGCCATTTTCATTAAAGACAGCCAGTTATGCTCTGCGAGACCAAAGAGTAAGAGCCCTGCCTGCCTTCTTGTTCTATGGGACTCCCCCGGGGGCACACTCTGCTTCACATTCAAAGGACTTCAAAGGAAGCTTGAGCTTAAAACTCAGCAGTGGCTCCCAAAGTGCCTCCCTGCTAGGCTGAGGCATGGAGGATGGAGCTCCCGTGCCGGGGACTGCGTGGCTGTCATCCATCCACCGAGCTCTGCTCTTCACTCCATTCTGCTGCTTTCTCAAACTCCTTTTTTTTTTTTTTTTTTTTTTTTTTTTTTTTAGAAAAAAAGATTTATTTTTTATGTACGTTGGGGTGGGGTTTTGCCTGCACACATGTCTGTGTGAGGATGCCAGATCCCCTGGAACTGCGCTTACAGACAGCTGTGAGCTGCCATGTGGGTGCTGGGAATTGAACTCGGGTAGTTTGGAAGAACAGCCAGTACCCTTAACCTCCCTCAAATACCTCACTGTGCAAATGTGACATTTCTGCTGTGACAAAGTCACATCACTTTCTTCATGGGAATAAGCAGCCCTCACTTTGCTGAGTGCCCTGTCTTCAGACCCTGTCAAAAGTCCTTTGTCTGCCCCACCCTGCTCGCTACCCGTCAGCCCACAGTGTGCACATAAGCTGGCCAGAGATACAAGCTAGGGTTGGCGGAGGTCATGTGGGGACATGTACCCTGAGTGGTGACCTCAAAATGTGCTACAGACCAAGGAGGTGGCAGATGAGGTTATGGACAGCACAGACACAGACACAGACACAGACAGACAGACAGACAGACAGACAGACAGACGCACACACACACACACACACACACACACACACACACACACACACACACACAGAGAGCCTGGAATTGGACGCAGGAGACTGCTTCCTAGGCTGGCCTGGCCTGGCCTCTCAACAGGTAACCCAAGGGTCTCCCAGACAACTTCCATATATGCTGTGATTGCAATTAGAATCTCTACAGACAGGATGGACCCATGGTGTTGCTGAGCAGTGGCCTTGGACTTCTTAGAGCAAACCTCACATAAGGCCATCCATCCACAGCCAGGACAGAGGACGGGAGTTACCCCGGCACATGCCCCTCTCCTTGGAAGGAACACTCACAGTTGCCAGTGAACCCTCCAATGCTAACTGTCCCTTACCATTGTTTTGAAACTCTCTCAGGTATTTGTCCTCTCGGAGACAGGGGGAAGCTAGGAGTAGAGACGGTCGAGTCTCCACCTCCGGGGAAGCTGTCCCACTCACCTGGTCCTCCCGCAGGAACCTCGCCACCTGCTCATATGCTTTTGTATGCTTGTGCTTAACGACCAGCTCACACCATCGATGGCGAACCTTAGGAAACAAGACGGGAAACCTGGTGAGCAATGTTCCAGAAGAGTCACAGGATAAACAGTTTCTGAACTGCAATGTCACTGAATCACGGGGAACCTCGGTATGCAGTCTGGCTGGCCGGGCTTTTGCATTTCATTTCTTCCTAAAGGAAGGAGAGGGCTGACACCGCTAAGCACGGGGACTGTCGTCAGTCAACATTAGTAGAAAGCGTACAAGGTTTCAGAGAGCAGCTTCGCTGTGTCACAGACGAGTGTGTGAGGCTAACAGGTGCGTGCAAACGGGAGCTTTATGTCAGTTCCACACGTGTGGTGTTGCCAGTTTCAACAATTAAATCACGGTATGTAGGAAGATGCCAACTCCAAATTCATGCCAAGCTGGGGCACCTCTGCTCTTGACCTGGCTGTTCCCGCGTGCACCATGCATACTTAGTAGAAGTGCCATGCTCCTTGCAAAGACTATCCTAAAGGTTTGCCTGCAGGAACTTGCCAGGACTCTCTCTGCTCTACCTCTTACAAATTCAACAGATACCGGATGCCTGTGAGACAGCAGTAAAGCCACCAGGAGCAAGGCCTCGCAGGGCCACCCTCTGTGTGAAGGCACATCAGCATTAAATCGACATCATCATCACCATCATCATCACCATCACCATCATCACTACCATCATCATCACCATCACCGCCATCATCACCATCACCACCACCATCATCATCACCACCATCATCATCACCATCATCATTCATCATCATCACCACCATCATCATCACCATCATCACCATCACCACCATCAACATCACCACCATCAACATCACCACCACCATCACCATCATTTTAAACAAACCAGGAGCTTCTGCCTGTTGGGTTCTCAGATTCCAATGCTACAGCTGTCACCTGCAAGCTGTCTGAACTACACTCAGTGAGCAGCCAGCCAATCGGTGAATGGCACATCATTGCTTCAGTACCAGCCAGTAAAAATTAAGGTCTCCTCCTGGTACCCATTTCGATTTGATTGCCTTTGGAAGGGGGAGACAGCGTGCAGTGATCCACTTGCAGGCTTGCAGTAGTAAATGTAAGCTATGCCAACACTTTCACTAGGGCCCCTGCAAATCACATCACTCTGCAAAATTCCCGGACCTGAGTCCTCCTTTAACCTGTACAGACGGATTCCCAGAAATTAACAATGCACAGGAGTGGGGGGTTGTCTATGGGGGAGACCCCTAGGAAACCAGGGAGAATTCGCTTCCCCACACTGCAGCCAGGGCCACCTCCAGGACTGTGGGCATCTGGTCCAGAGCAGACCCCAGAAGCAAATGTACAGAGCACTGGGGTTGTGCCTACCTCTCCTTTTCCTCCCAGTGGCCTAGCCACACCCACACCCGGCAGTAAAAAGCCTTTGTTTGAGAGAGTTTTGAAAAGGAGCACAAGCCAGGAGACTGGCTATGACAGTCACCATCTTGGGGACCCTACTGCTCTGCTGGCTGCTCAGGCCCAGGGAAAGAATCTCACTTTTCTTAGCTATGAAACAACCTGTGCCCACAGGGGCACTCACATGATCCAGAGTACTCTGAGGGCTGTGCCTGCCACCTGGCTCACTTACAGTCTGGCCCCTATGGCTTCTATCATTCTCAAACCGTGAGGTGTACACTCCAGATTTTAGTTTGAGAGCGGAGGGCTTTGGAAAGGTTCAGGCTTGAGGCAAACAGTGAGGCTAACTGCTATTTGGGTAAGAGATTTTCTAAGCACTGTTAATGCCATCGATGGACGGTGGGCACGGTGGGGGCCCTGAAGAAGGATCAAGCAGAGAGAGGTCTGTCATAGGAAGGAAAGGTTTTCACACACTGACTGACTGATGGGGAAACATACAGTACATGTGCGCAGTCAAGGTGTCCCTGACTACGGTTGGCAGATGGGGGGGGGGGTGGGGAGTCTGTCAGCTGGGGCCTGTGCACAGGATCAGTTGTGAGGGTAGGGGAAACCAGAACCTAGACAAAAAGGACTTCACCGAGTAGCTTGTCCCCCGCCCCTTTGAGGGAGGGTGTCAGGCCGCCCTAGCTGCCCTGGAATCTGACACAGAGTCAAGGATTAGAAGTGCAAGCAACCATGGTTTGTTTATGCGGTGCTGGGGATCAAACCCAGGGTTCGGTGCATGCTAGGCAGGCCCTCTACCCACTGAGCTGCATGCCCAGCCCCTCATGTTCTTTTCTGTGCTCTCCTGTAATTCACACACCAGGGCCCACTTCCTGTTAGAACGGGGTGGGGTCAGGAGAGGAGGCAGCACCCTGGCTGGGGTGTGTGGAGGGCTCAGAAGGCCCCGCCACAGAGGCTCTCTCACAACCTGAGGTCAGCATTTCCACTTTCTCAATCAGAAATGGTTTAAGAGCCAATCTTCTGAACCCTGAAGGCTAGCATGGCATCCAGGAAGGACAGACAGACTGTCCCCACCCCCCACACCCCATACAGAGCAGGACAAAACAGGCTTTTCATCAGCCAAGGACTACACGCAATTCAGTATCTCAAAGGCAGGATGTTTAAAAGACACCACGGAGATACTGCAAGGCTGAGAGCTTCCCCAAGCCCCGCCCCAGTCTCCATTCACGCAAGGACTTTCAGTTCTTTCTGCCTAGTTCTTCCGGGCAACAAAGAGCATCTTAGTTTTCTCCTCCAAACTCACAAGCACCCACAGTCAATGCCCTCACAGCACGCGGTGACGCCTGTCACCCCGGCAGTACTTCAAAGTGCACAGCAGGGTACGGTTGGGTTGCGTTCTTGACGAGGTCCACAGACCTTAGAGTCCCTCACAGGCAACATCCTGAATCAAGATCCCCACCCCCACCCCCAGCCGACACTGGCAGGGACACAACACTCTCACACCCAAGCCTCAACACTCAGAAGCAGTTTGGTTTCATTTGCATAGTCTTTGCCATCCTTAAACAACGAATTGCTGGATTCCTGTGGGACGGTCGACCTTACCCTGGGTTTTTAAGCTTCCTTATGTAAAAATCAAAGTAGAGGCACACGTGCGCGCACACACACACCCATGACAGTGTTTGGCACCCAGCAGGCTGCTCTGGTCACAGGACCTCAGTAGGCACTGGGTGATGTCCGGTGCGTGGGTGGGTGTAGAGATGGAAAGAAACCAGAGCCGATTCACTAAGATGAAGACTTTAGTTAAGGGAACCCAGGAGCCCCTCTCCATACTAGGACTGTCTCTAGAGTCCCTGTGCAGAGGCTGCCTCTGTTCTGGTTTTCCTTATACAATCTAACACAACAGCACAGCACGCCCTGACTTAAAAACAATGTCTGGACTGTGAGTAAACAAAGACTTCCCAGTCCTGACTGTAACAGCCACGAAGTGTCCCACCACACCAGAGCCGAGCCAGACGCCCCCAGAGGGACACAGTGCATGTGACAGTGAAGACAGAGGTTAACCCAAGGAGCTATGGAAACCCAGGTGTGTGCCTCTCCTGCTCTGTGGCTACTGCTCTGCTCGATTTGAAGCTGCGGCATTGCCAAATCAAATGGCAGGCACGTCTGTGTCCTGGAAGACACTGTTAAAGGGCCTTCCGCGACTTACACTCCCGTCACAAGTCTTTGCAGTTCCTACATCGCGAGCAGCTACCACTGCTGAGCTATCAAGTGGGGACTGGTTACAGGAAAAGGTGGAGGGACTGGGGACACTGTCAAACCAGAGTCCAAAGGACTGTGAGCGGTTTCTGGAGCTGCCAGCCAACAGTGCCAGAGAGCAAAGAGCCCTCTGGCGGAGCCTGGGAGGGCGGCCTCCATCTTTCCCAGCCTGTTTAGCAAACCTTTACATTTTCCTACTGGATCCCTGGCTTGCTTCCCCCTTAGTCTGTAGTATGTTTTCAGGGTCAGGGAGACAAGCTCTTGACCAAACAAAAGTCTTCTGGTCAGGGTCATTTTGACTCTGGCTATGATGGTTCTGCTTACATTTTTGAATGGTTATAGATGAATTTATTGGTGTCCCCCCCCATGGTTTTTCAATTTTATTCCTTTGGTTTTAGCATTTCTTGCGTTTATGTGTGTGCTCCAAATGATCTAACTTCATACTTAACTTTCCTTTGATTTTCTGAGACGTGTTTGCTAGGTAGCCCAGGTTGGCTCAGGTTGATCTAGAATTTCCAACGTAGCTCAAAACTGCCTCCCAAGTTCTGGGATTATAGGTATGAGCCACCACACATGGAAAACTACACACTAAATATTTTTGTTTTACTATGCTTCAACTGTTAGTGGAGTGGAAAATGTAATGGTTTAAATGGTGACTAAAATTCAGGTCACTCCCAAGGTTTTGCTAGGAATCCCCAGCAAGTCTGAAGTTAGCAAACACGTAAGTCTGAAATGCGATGCCTGAGTTCTGGCTGCATACATGACTACTAAGAACATGCTTGAGTTGAAAATACAGACAGGAGACAGTCCTGAGTGGGGTGTGGAGAGGGAGCCGTAGCCTGTAGCCTGGCTGGCCCTTCGCTGCCCCACCAGACTGATGGAGATCTCTTGGCCTATGGACAGGGGCCCATGCATGTGAGCACAGGGCTTAGCACACAAATGACAGGCCAGAGAGGTTGGGTCGCTGGAGTCTTCCTGGCTGCCAAAAAGTTGATTGTGGTGTGGTACACAGGTGTGCACACTTCATCTGGTGTGATGCACAGGTGTACACACTTCAGTACAACAAATAACTTTAGTGGGGTGTGGTGCATGCCTGTAATTCCTACACTCACAAGGCAGAGGCAGGCAGATCTCTGCAGGTATGAGGCTAGCCTAGCCTACATAGAGTGTTCCAGGCCAACCAGGACTACGCAGTTAAGACTCCATCTCAAAAAACAACCAAAAAAAAAAAAAAAAAAAAACAAAAACAAACCCACCCCCCAAAACAACAACCGTACAAAACTCTTTTCCAGGATGTTTTGCTTAGAATGTAAGAGGAAATGGGCTTCAGCACTCTGCAGGCCTTTAAACACCCCCCCCCACACACACACCAATACAGG